CTGACTGTTCCCTGGAAGGCCAGATAGTGAAACTGAAGCTCAAATACTTTGGCCACCAAATGAGAAGGGAGCACTCCCTGGAGAAGACCCTGATGCTGGGAAAGACTGAAGGTCAAAGAAGACGGGGACGGCAAAGGATGAGATGGTTAGACAGTGTCATAGACACAGACAAATATCAAGTGGGCTAAACTATGTAGTACCCCAAACAGGAATGGTGGCGTGCCAGCATCTTAGGCGGGTTGGTAAAAATTCCTTTTAGTGGATATGAAGTGGCCATGGAACAACAAGGTTCTGACCTGGACATACCTTTCTCTCAGGAAACAACTATTTACTTATCAATATATTTAGCACTTAACAGCATTAGCAAAACCAATCGGTCCTTGTGGCAAGGCATTTACACTCTGGGCCATACAACACTCACCCATGTCCAGAGGGTGGCCGCTGAGTAGAAGATCACAAGGTTTACAATTCCATAAATGGCCTGAAATTAGTGGAAACAAAGTGAGAAAGAGAACAAAGTTAGAGGCCACCTGGATCTATCTTCATGAAAGTGAGAAATAATACAACTTGGCATTTATACAGTGCTTTCAAACGTTTACAGTGCTTTGCATATGTTATCCCACTAATAACTACGACAGTCTTGTAAGTAGGCCAGCACTCTCATCGGAAGCCAAGAAAAAGTGACTTCCTTAAGGCTACCTAGTTGAATTTATGGCAGAGAGATCTGAATCAGGAATGTCTCAACTTGTAGCTTGGTCTCTTAGCCACCAGTCTATACCAGGTGATAAGAACCAAATAAGAACTTTGAAGTTCCCTGGATTGGAAAAAAAATCTCACATGAATCTAAATGAATAAGACAGACTTCATCTCAAGCCTTTGCACCAGAGACCACTGAGTCAGAAGGGGTGCTTCACTTCGGACGCTTCACTTCATGTGTGCAATGTTAAAAGGTGCTAAGATCCACCAGTGCAGACTTTCTGGCAAAATGTCAGCTATGCTGCCATTGTACGGGGGGGGGGGGAGTCTGTGGAGTGAACATCTTAATATCCTGGAATGTTGGTTTCACTTTTCTTGCCCGGCCTTATCTGTTGCCTGACCTTGATGTTTAGCGCTCTCGCCTCCCTGGGAACCTGTAGTTGTTACTTTAACCACGCAAGGCTTGCACCTCTGATTGGCTTAACTCCATCAGGGGCCCCTGCTTTGAATGCAGTATATCTTCCTCTCTCCCACCAGTTGTGTAGCCTTTACACAGAATGTATGCACAGATGACTACTTCTACTGAACTCAATAAACTTGATCTCTTGGAAGGAATATTGTTGAGCCTGAGTTTGTGGGACTCTGACACAAAGTAAGAAATGACACCCCAGAACACTCTGCAATAACGCAGGGCTTCCAAGGTATGGTATCACTTTGTGAATCCAATGTAGTGCCCTGCTTGCTGGAAGCATTAAATGATGCACCATTTCTGACCTGGCAGAAGCCGTGCAACAATAAAGAGGGTGCCCTGAGGCCTCGGCAATAGCACAGAGCCTGCAGTCCTCCAATACCGGCATCATCTTTCAAATATCATGTTGTTTTCATAATTAAGTCATTCTGTAACAGGAGGCCAGCCCACTGATCTACGCAATATTCTGACATCTGTGGACTGTTATAACTTAGCTATTCCCCTTCTGCATCAATCTGTGCTTTTCACATTTGCTTTCTAACATTCTCTACGAGAAATATTTTTAAATACATTTGTGGACGTATCATACGTTTATGTATCCAATCAGATTTTTACTTGGCGATTTTCAATACAGGAGATACTCTTGATTGTTCCTAAACTCAGGACAGGAAAATTAAAGCCAAAGCTCCTCAAAACAAAAGGTATTTGAGATGGCAGGCCCTTGCTATCAAAAATCTCCCAGCAGGCCACATCAGTTTCATTAAACTCATGCAAGGCACTGCAAACTTACATTTGCTCCTAAGATAATTCGCAGATAGAATTTCAGTGTGTCCTTGTTTTCTTCAAATATTTGCTTTTTACCTTTGGTTCCCACCTTTCCCTTTGGCTGGAAAAAAACAGAGACGAGCAATTAGCACATCCATCCTTTTCTTTAACTGCTTTTAGATCTGCATACATCCAAACTCCACTACTGGCAGACAGAACTTCATTTTTGTTTCCAGGTATAAATGAAGCAAATAAATAAATATACTTTTTTTAAAAACCGCAAATCACATTGTACAAAGTAAACCATGAACAGGTAAATTTGTTTTTCAGTTTGCTGAATTTCTTTTCACCACTATCAGCTAGAGATGTGAAGGCCCAGAAAAAAAACGGAAAAATTCGGGAAAAAAACGGTTTTTTCCCATTTTTTCCCTGAAGATTTTTTGTTTTTTTCCGAAAAATTGGAAAACTTGAAAAAAGAAAAGAAAAAAATGATTATGGAACGTTTTATTTTAACATGATGAATAAAATATTTTAAGACAAGGTGTTCAAATATTTTCCAAATCATTTCTAAAATATATATACATGGTATCAGATTATGTTTTGTGGGGGGGGGGGGGGGGGAAATCATTAAACAAAGAACTGAGCCAGTGTGGTGTTGTGGTTACAGAGTCACTGACAATCTGTCAGGGCAATGATACTGTCCTGAGCTAGCATGGTGTAGGGGGGTTAGACTAGGATTTGGGAGATCCAGGTTCGAGTCTCCACTCTGCCAAGGAAGCTTGCTAGGTGACCTTAAGCTAGCCACCCTCTCTCATCCTAACCTGCCTCAAAGGGCTTATTGTGAGATTAAAATGGAGGACTGGAGAATGATGTAAGCCACTGTGAGTCCCCACTGGGGAGAAAAGCAGGGTATAAATGAAGTAAATAAATAAATATACTTTTAAAAAACCGCAAATCACGTTCTACGAAGCAAACCATGAACAGGTACATCTGTTTTTCAGTTTGCTGATTTTCTTTTCACCACTATCAGCCAAGCCTTGCTGGGCTATTGGATCTTCAAAACGAGCCTGTGATTTGTCAGCAAGGGTTTGAACTTAGATCATCCGTGCCCGGACACAATATTCGGTCCTCTGAACTGCACAGCAGAACCAGCAAATAAACTAAAACTAAGTGACAGCATACCTGAGGCACCACCCCACCAGGGGAGCACAAAGTGGGCATGGGATTTTCTCAGCTGTCTTTACTGACAACATCAAGAACCAGAAGGGCAACTCTTCACTGTTTGTCATCTCTTTGTTCTAGATCTAAATCTCAGTTCTGCCCTGAATTTGCCCAGTGGCCTTAGGTAAACTACTCTCAGCTTCAGTGTCCTTCGTCCACTACCTGCAATAGATAATATCTACCTAGCTACATAACAGGGTTGTTGTAAGGTTTACTAAGACTGTGACACTTAGATTCGAGTCCAGCAGCACCTTAGAGACCAATACGTTTTCACAGTGTAAGCTTTTGAGAGTCGAGGTTTATAAGATTATGCATGGGATAGAGCAGGTCGAGAAAGGAGTACTTTTCTCCCTTTCTCGCAATACAAGAACTCGTGGGCACTCAGTGAAATTGCTGAGCAGTTGGGTTAGAATGGATAGAAGGAAGGACTTCTTCACCCAAAGACTGATTAACACAGAGAATTCACTGCCACAGGAGGTGGTGGCAGCTACAAGCATGGACGGCTTCAAGAGGGAATTGGATAAACATATGGAGCAGAGGTCCATCAGTGGCTATTAGGCATAAGGTATAGATAGGGACTCTGGGACAAGTGATGCTCTGTCTTCTTGGGGGTGGGGCAACAGTGGGAGGGCTTCTAGTGCCCTGGCCCCACTGCTGGACCTCCTTGTGGCCCCCGGTATTTTTGGCCACTGTGTGACAGAGTGTTGGACTGGATGGGCCTTTGGCCTGATCCAACATTGGCTTCTCATATGTTTTTAAAGCTCCCTTCGTCAGACATGAGTAGCAATGGAGATCTTGGAGTCCTTTTATCCTAGTCAGAAGGTCGGAGGGGTGTTGTAAAAGATGCTTGTAAAGGACGCAAAGGTATAATTCATATTGTAGTCAGCAGGGGAAAAATATTCGAGGGCAGAAAATTAGCATCTGTAGCGAGATAAGACTTCTGTGCTTCAGCCCTGGAAGGGTACATTGTTCTGAACCTTGGAATGAACCCAAGTTCAGTACAGCATTCTAACCACTCTCAGGTACAGTATACAATTGCTAAGCAGGTGATGCCAGAAGAGTCCTTAAAGTATGCCATAGAGGTATACAGATCTGTTCTTTCCCTTGGCCTTGGATTAGCACTGGGGGGGGAGGGGATCTAGTGTTGCCTGTCAACCAAGTAGGGAAACCACTTGCCAGCTTATAGTTTCATCAGATATACAAAGTGAATTTTCAGTTAACCAATACATACAGCCAGCACTGTCTTTAGAAGTTTTAAGGATACACTGCAAGGCCCTTTACTCATTAGAGTTTTTCATGATGGCTTCAGGCGGTACAGTGACAGTTAATTATAGCTGCAAACAGAGATCCACAGAGGACCAACTTCACATATCTGAGGAAGTGGGATCCAACCCACAAAACCATAGGCTACAAAAACATACATGCCCTACTGGATCAGACCAGTGATCCATCTTGTCCAGCATCCTGTTTCAAACAGTGGCCAACCAGCTTCCCTGGAGGACCAACAGACAGGGCACAAAGGCCAAGGCCTCCCACCCCATGTTGCCTCATAGGAATGGTATCCAGAAGTTTACTGCCTCTGGATGTGGCATAAATCTGCTAGCCACAAGCCTCCTTTTTTTCTGTTCATTTGCTGTGCATCAGGCTACCTTTAAAGACCGAGACACACTGCCACATACACATAAAACTGCTTTATGCTGAGTCAGACCATCGGTCTCTCAAGATCAGTAGTGCCTGCTGTGACTAGCGGCAGCTCTTCAGGATCTCAGAGGGAAATCTTTTGTCCAGCATCACTGCCTTTTAACTGGAGATGCCGGGGACTGAACTTGGCACCGTATGCAAGCAACACAACTGCTCTACCGCGGCCCAAATGAAACCAAAGTGACAGCTTCCCCGTGAGGGTAGAATCATTCCAAACTATTCCAACAGCAGCTTCACCGGGCAATTATATATTCACATTATTAGACAGTGTCATCGATGCAACGAACATGAAGTTGAGCCAACTTCAGAGGACGGCAGAAGACCGGAAGGCCTGGAGAGAGCTCGTCCATGGGGTCGCGAAGAGTCGGACTCGACTGTGCGACTGAACAACAACAATTATTAACGACACAGGGAGGAAAAGTGACCACAATTCCCCTTCCAGGCCAACACTACACATCCCCGCTCCCCAGCCTAAAGGCCTCGCTTACCGCCATGACAGCTCCACGGCCAGTCCTAAACAGGCAGAACCCCACCACCTCAGCATAGCAAGACTTCCGGCGCAGGTAAAAATGCGTCATCGCGTGGCGCAAGGTACCGTCGCGGAGGACTACAGTTCCCAAAATGCAGCGCACCGTCGTCACATGGGAACGAGAAACTGAGCGGGGGGGGAGACAGAGGGGAGGAGCCGAGCAAAGGGGGGCGTGGCCAAGCCGTTGAGGAGACCGGTCACGGTCGGACTCCGGCGAGGCTGAGCCGCGGGCGGTGATGGAGACGGGGGAATTGCCTGTGGAGGTAGGGGCGCCTAGTAGGGAGAGGAGGGAGGGGGAAGCCCGGTGGAGACCCTGCAGGGGTTGCCCGAATGGGCAGCGCCTCAGAAGGACGCAGATCTCGAGTCGACCCGTGTGCTTGTGTACAGATGTGCCTACAAACACGTGTCATCGGGATTTTGTGTGTGTTTTATTGTGGGAGGGGGGTGTTGCCTGTCTTGAGCCAGGACGAAGAACGGGGTATAAATATTTTGATTAATATATGTGCCCCGTGGGTGACCTCGCGGCGTTTTCTTTTGTCGAACGCAACTTGGCTCTCCTTTCCCAGCTCTCATTTCCTTTTTCCTCCTCTCTCCTCCACCTCGCCCCTCCTTTCACCTCTCCCCCGCCTTTGCCCTTTCAAGTCCCTTGCAAGTGTATCCGATTGAAGCTGTGCGCTCTTAAATCCGGAGTAGGAGCCGGGGGGGGGGGGTTGGTAGGGCTTCCTTTGGGGACACAAAGTAACCATAGTTAGGGATGCAGCATTGTAAATGTTTAGTTCAAACTTTGTATACACACACACACACAAATGCCCCGTACATTTATATCGCCCTTTAAATTTAAAAAAATAATCAAAAAGGGCAGAAAATTTGTTGGCGAGCATCAGAACCAATGGAATCAGTGCGCATCGCTTTCCTCCCGATAGGCAGAATTCTGGGAGTATCTTGGGAGTGACAGATCCCTTTGCCTGCTCTCCTCGGGCGCTTCCTGACTGTCCCAAGGGCGGAGCTGGTCAGTGACACAACAGACAGGCTGCTAACGGAAACAATTAGTTTGGATGCTTAAGAAAAGGCTAGGATGGAAATGCAGGGTGTGCCTTTCCACATGTGTTTTTGTCCCCCCCCATCCCCCCCGATATTTCTACCTTGCCTTCTTGGTCGTATGCAAGGCAGTGACAGTTTCTCTAAAAAGTCCATTTAAAACCTGTTTATGTAGGGCTGGAAGCACCCAAAGTCTGTGTCATGAACTGGAAGTTGCACAATGCTGTACCCCGTCCCTCAATACGTTTTGAGCTAGCCCCCAGCAATTACCCATCTGTATTAAGAAACTATCTGTATGGAAAATCCCAGACTTTTGTCTGAATTAAAGCTTCACTTTTGCCAAAACAGTCTCAGATGTAATTCCAATGCACCCAGTGCCAATAACAAAAGGAAACTGCCTGGGTTTGAGGGGCTAATGAGATTTTGAGCACCTTGCCTGAAAAGGAATCTGAAGACTAGAAAAGATCCTGGTGCAGTGTGTATGAGGCTAGTGTGGGGGCGCAAAGCCCTGCATCCTTATTTAAAGGTATATAGGAACTAATTGGCATAGGGTTACTGTGCTTGAGAGCACCTTGTGCGAGAACACACTTTGGGTTGGACACGATGCTGGGACATCTTGGGAGGAAACGCTCTCCTGCATGAGCCAGTATATGATTTGGGGTGACATAAGCAATGCTCCCTCTAAGCTGTGGAGTCTTGTGAGCAAAAACTCTACTTTGTGAGCTACTGCCATTAAAGTTGTGAGCCAGCTATTTGGCTGCTGCATAAATTAGTTTGCTCTGGAGCCATCCTTCCTGAGCTAGGACAGAAATGTGTGAGCTGGAGGCTCAAAAACTGTGAGCTAACTCACACTAACTCAGCTTAGAGGGAACACTGGACAGAAGTCTTATGGGAAACAGATGCTCAAAGGCAGTTTTTCCTGTAAAAGGAACGGTCACTGAAAAATTGGGTTTGGGGGTGGAGACCCAGTGAGTCGTACTTATCATGTTGTACTAGACCCGGGAAGACCCAGGTTCAAATTCCCACTCCCCATGAGACCCACCCAGTTGCCTTGGGCACTCTCTCTCAGCCTAATGTACCCTCATAGGGTTGTCATGAGGATAAAAATGGAAGAAGGAAAAAATCATGTACCTGAGCTCCTTGGGAGAAGGGGCAAGTTCAAAATATAACTAAATAAAATGTGTTGTGCTTTTAACCTCCATTTCCCCATCCGTCCTCCAAAGAATACAAGTCGTCCATACGGAAGTCTTCAGTTCTTCCATGTTATCCTCACAGCAAGACTGTTGAGGTAGATTAGGTGGGGAGAGAATGGCCAGACCCATTTATTTATATCTTGTTTTTCTGCCCATTTCCTTCCAAAGCAACAAAGGGAAAAAAACAAAAACCAACTGAATTCCACAGCGAACCAGGCTTTGAACCCAGGTCTCCCCAAGCCTAGCCCAACATGACAACTGGCTTCACCTGGTCTAGCCAGTGATTCATGCAGTCAGCTACATTCCTTGGCCTGCATGTACCTGGCGTGATGCAGGGAAACATTTAGATGAACCAACTAGTTTACCTGCACTGTCTCTCCCACAAGCCATCCCTTGAAAACCGATAGCTGCACCCAGGGGTCATTTCGTAGAAAAAGAGGTGCAGGAGCTCATTAGCATAACTCATTAGCATAACCTGTTTGCATATGCCACACCCCCTGACATCACTGGAAGTGTGTCAGAAGGCAACACCCACCGCTCAGGCTCCACTGGACTCTTTTGGATTGCTAGTTATGGGGGGGGGGGGAAACGTGTAGATCTGCCCTCACAGAGGAGGGAGAGCTTGTACCTGAATAAAACTTGGTCTTAAAGGTGCCACTGGACTTTTGGGGCCGGGGGGGCTCTGGAACTTACCTGGCTGCTTCTTGCTCTGACTGAGGGCTGCTGGGAGCAGGGGTGGGGCTTGTTGCATGTGTCCGCCCCCTGGGCTCTTTACTGCCGGAGCTCCGCTCCTGTGCGCTCCTGCGGGAAATGACCCCTGGCTGCACCATCCTGGCACCTTGTGTCTAGATTCCCTGACTTTCAGTGGGAGCCCAATTAGCTGCTGGGTGTGGCAGTCCACCCCAGGACACACACACCCCCATTGAGCCCAAGAGGACTTCCTGTGGATGCCCGGTTCTCTGATGACATTGCCCTACCAGGTTGAAGTGCACGGATACCAAAGTGTTTGAGATAAAGCACACTGTTCCGATTGCTGGTGGCTTGTTAAGAAAAGACAGGATTTGCAGCCATGTCTAGCTGAGTTTCTCTAACTGATGTATAGAAAAGCAAACCCTGGAGGGAGAAACAATAGTCATAAAATGAACTCAGACTTAGTTTCTTTGTTCACTCACACCTGCCGGGGAGGAGGGGTGGCAAGATCTATGAGAACCGTAGCTCACAGATGTTGTTCCTTATGAAGAACTCCCAGTTAATCATTAGCTGCTTTTTATGGTCTACTTAAATAATGTTGCTATACCATACCCACCTTTTGACAAGGATCAGCAATGTCTGGGTTTTTCATTTGGTTTGGACAAAAGGTTTAGGGTTTCCAAATGCACAGCCCTCCCGACCTTGGTACCCAAAGAGGCAATAATAATAAATCTCCTATTTAATTGGGGGAATTAGCTTAATAAATTTACCTGAGGCGGACTATAGGTGCAAATGGTTTTTGGTGACCCTCTAAGTACTGGACAGGAAAAGCTACCAGGTTTTATGAATAGTGTTAAGTGTTGCGAAATTAAGGGTAAATGGGTAAGGGGGAAGTGAGGCTGCTCATTGATGAGAGTAGCCAGTAGTTTCTTGGGAGACTTATTGTCCTAAATTATGCTTCTCTCCGGGGCAAGGAGAGGGTCGTCAGTCAGTCAGCCGCTCTGACTCACCTTCAAAGATATTTTTCCCAAGCTTGTCTCTGGCTGGCATCCATTTTGTGTCACTTTGGGACAGGCAGTGTCTTATATTTATGATTTTTGAGGTGATATTGTATGAAGGGTGTTTCTGCCTCACTAAGCACTAAACTGCCCCCTGTATATTTATGATTTTTGAGGTGATATTGTATGAAGGGTGTTTCTGCCTCACTAAGCACTAAACTGCCGCCTTTTGGAGGAGGGGTCTGACTGCTAACAACCTCCTGAACAATTTCCATCTTCCCAAACTCCAGATGCCAATCACAAGTTGGCATGCTTGACTTTGGTATAGTAAATACTCTTGAGCCAATGTGCCATATGGTGTAGTAGTTACAGCACCGGACCCAGGCTCAGCCCTCCAAGCCGCAGAGTTCACTGGGACCTTGGAAACATTAACCCTCTTTCGTTCCCCCAACTGACATCGCAGGGTTGTTGCTAGGAGAAAATGGAGGACAGGACAACTATACAAGCTACCGTGAGCTCACTGGGAGAAGGGTGGGTTAGAAATGCAAATACATTTGCTTTAGCATTGGACTACAGAATAAACGACAGTTCTAGACTCGCTTTATACAAACCTACCATGGGTGTGCAAAGAGTATGACTCTTCTTGCACACAAGCTACTGCTACAAGCCACATGCCATGCAGATTCCAGTTTCCAGCATTTCACTCACTTTGGAAGACGGACAAAATCTGTCACTCCATTCTCTCATTTCTGTCCACGCAATATCTGCCTCTTAGCAAGCTGCTGGTTGAGCAACATGCTTAGAAACCAATACTTTAAAAAAAGGATTTAAAATTATATTAAATTGAGGTGTCAAAAAGTTACATTGCAATGCTACAAAACGCCTTCTTTAAACCGATGAAGCAGGAGTCCAGTGGCACCTTAAAGTGGAAAGAAAGTTCATTCCAGCATGAGTTTTCATGAGTCATAGATGGTTTAAAATGAAATTTGAGTTTAATGCACATGATCTTGGCTACAATTCTAGTCTCTTCAGATGGAACCTATTACCTCCTGCCAAGCACATCAAATCAGTTTAGTTGTGTGCGTGTGTGTGTTTTAAAGGGGGCAGGGAGATATGAGATGGATTACAAATGTGATGCAGCAGACTGTGTAATCGTTTTAGTACTGGGCAAGTCATCAGTATTCTATCGACCAAGTTGCATGAAGGTTTGCTTTGTGTTCCATAGAACGATAACCGTTCCACCCAGCAACTGCCAACCAGTCATTTCAGAACTGTAACATTCTCCCCCCACCCCAATCTGTAAGCAGGTCTGCAGTCTGGCTCTTCCTTGTCCCCACAGCATTTGCACTACAAAATCGTAAGCTCTCTACTTAGTGGCAAGCAAAGCTGCTTGTGCCCCGACCTGGATAGTCCAGATTAGCCCGATCTCATCAGATCTCAGAAGCTAAGCAGGGTCAGCCCTGTTTAGTATTTGGGTGGGAGACCACCGTGTAACATCAGGGTTGTGACGCAGAGGCGGGCAATGGCAAAGCGCCTCTGAACGTCTCTCATTTGGAAAACCCCATGAAGTCACCAGAAGTCAGCTGTGACTTGATGGCAAACAAAGGAACAAAGCTGCTCAGTTTCCAGAAAAGGAAGAGCTACAGAAAGGGAAATCAGTTGTGGGGGGTGCTTCGAGTTTTCAGATCAACTCACCCTGCTGGGAAGAAAGCGTCAGATTCATTGGTATGGTAAGCCAGGAACCTGTATCGATTTAGCAGAGTGCGCAAACAGGCTACACAACAGCAGTAGCTTCTTTGTCCTGTATGTGCTGGCAAAGTTACAGAGCTACACAGAGCCAATTGTCAGTTTCAGAACTAACAAAGAGTTATTTATTTAGTGAACTCCATTCTAGATAGGATAGATGAGAGACAGGAACTGAATCTGTTCTAACTACCTGGATGGAGGCTGACGGAGGTTGCATCCATGGTGCAAAAAATGGAGAGCAAACGTGCTCCTCCTTTGTGCGCGTGCGTGCAAGAGAAGTGTGAACGGAAGGAAGGAAGCAATTCCCTGAGACTATCAGCCTACACATCAAAGGGACAGAGGCAGAAGAGTAAGCAGGAAGGAAACTCAGTTTGCCTGTCTATCTGTCTGACTCTCTTGTAAACCCTACACACACACACCCCAGGCTGAGACGAAGAGACAGCGTCTGGTGCTTCTCTTCCAACAGAAAGAAGGCCCCTTTGGCAAGGTCTCCATCTTGACGGTCTTTTTTTTCCCCCCTTGACAGGTGATCACTCACATCTTGAACTTCCTGCCTATCCCTGACAGGAAAGAGGCCTCTCTGGTGAACCGAAGCTGGTACTTTGCAGCCCAAGACTCCTTGCGGCAGGTGAACCACCTCTCCCCTCAGTGGCTCGCAAAACCAGGGCCCTGCTGTTTCCCCCACTCTCCCCACACACAATGGTGCCAGTTGCCACCTACAAAACTTGGGGAGGCATCCAGAACGTTGGCATACAAATGGAGGGCATTTGGGATTTTAGGCAGCGCCCTTCTCCCCACTTCCCGTGGCTTCTGACTGTTGGTGGAAGAGAACTGGCTTATACCAGGGGCCAAGATAGACTAAGGGTACAGCAAACTAAAGAGCATAGGCATACGAGAGGTTGCTGCAAAAGTTCAAACACTCAACAAAAAATAGCAAACTTGTCAAAGCACATAATCGCTAATCAATAGCATTTTAATCTTGATTTGTTTCAGTGAATATCAAGAGACCAAAGTCATAAGAACATAAGAACATAAGAGACGCCAATGTTGGATCAGGCCAAAGGCCCATCCAGTCCAACACTCTGTGTCACACAGTGGCCAGAAATACCAGTGCCATCAGGAGGTCCACCAGTGGGGCCAGGACATTAGAAGCCCTCCCACTGTTGACCCCCCCCCCAAGCACCAAGACAGAGCATCACTTGCCCCAGAGCCCCTAGCTATACCTTGTGGCTAATAGCCACTGATGGACCTCTGCTCCATATGCTTATCTAATTCCCTTTTGAAGCCATCCATGCTTGTAGCACCCACCACTTCCTGTGGCAGTGAATTCCATGTGTTAATCACTCTTTGGGTGAAGAAGTACTTCCTTTTATCCGTTCTAACCCGAACGCTCTGCAGTTTCATGGAGTGCCCACGAGTTCTTGTATTGTGAGAAAGGGAGAAAAGTACCTCTTTCTTTACCTGCTCTTTCCCATGCATAATCTTATAAACCTCGATCATGTCACCCCTCAGTCGTCTTTTCTCCAAGCTAAAGAGCCCTAAGCGCTTTAACCTTTCCTCATAGGGAAAGTGTTCCAACCCTTTTATCATTCGAGTTGCCCTTTTCTGCACTTTTTCCAAAGCTATAATATCCTTTTTAAGGTGTGGTGACCAGAACTGCACACAGTATTCCAAATGAGGTCTCACCATTGATTTATATAGGGGCATTATTATATTGGCTGATCTGTTTTCAATACCCTTCCTAATAATCCCCAGCATAGCATTGGCCTTCTTTATTGCAGTCACACACTGTCTCGACATTTTCAGTGAGTTATCCACTACAACTCCAAGATCTCTCTCTTGCTCAGTCTCTGCCAGTTCAGACCCCATCAATGTGTATTTATATTTAGGATTTTTGGCTCCAATGTGCATCACCTTGCACTTGGCCACATTGAACCCCATTTGCCATGTTGACGCCCACTCGCCCATCCTTGACAGATCCCCTTGGAGTGCCTCACAATCCTCACTGGTTTTCACCACCCTGAACAACTTTGTATCATCCGCAAATTTAGCCACTTCACTGCTTACTCCCATCTCCAAATCATTAATGAACAAGTTAAAAAGCAGTGGACCAAGTACTGATCCCTGCGGTACCCCACTGCTTACCACCCTCCACTGAGAAAATTGCCCACCTACACTCACTCTCTGTTTTCTATGAACTAGCCAGTTTTTGATCCATAAAAGGACTTGTCCTTCTATCCCATGATTTTTGAGCTTACTTAGGAGCCTTTGATGAGGAACTTTATCAAAAGCTTTCTGGAAGTCAAGGTAAATAATATCTATTGGATCCCCCTTGTCCACATGTTTGTTCACCCCCTCAAAGAACACTAACAGGTTAGTGAGACAAGATCTTCCCTTACAGAAACCGTGCTGAGTCTGCCTCAATAGGTTTTGTTCATCTATGTGCCTACTAATTCTTTCCTTAATAATGGTTTCCACCAATTTACCCGGTATCGACGTCAGACTGACTGGCCTGTAATTTCCCGGATCTCCTCTGGAACCCTTTTTAAAGATGGGAGTGACATTAGCTACCTTCCAATCCTCAGGAATGGAGGCAGATTTTAAGGAAAGATTACATATCTTTGTCAGGAGATCTACAAGTTCACATTTGAGTTCTTTCAGAACTCTCGGATGTATGCCATCTGGGCCTGGTGATTTTTCAGTTTTTAAGTTGTCTATCAGTTTTAGGACCTCCTCTCTCATCACCTCAATCTGACTCAGGTCTTCCAACACCCCTCCTGAAATCAGTGGTTCTGGAGTGGGCAAGCACTTCTCATCTTCCACAGTGAAGACGGAGGCAAAAAATGCATTTAGCTTCTCAGCCATTTCCCTATCATCCTTCAATACTCCTTTTACCCCTTGGTCGTCCAAGGGCCCCACTGCCTCCCTGGCTGGTTTCCTGTTTCTAATGTATTTGAAGAAAGTTTTATTGTTGGTTTTTACGTTTTTTGCTATATGCTCCTCATATTCCCTTTTTGCCTGCCTGACCTCAGACTTGCATTTTATTTGCCATAGCCTGTGTTCCGTTTTATCAGCCTCACTGTGACTAGCTTTCCACTGCTTAAAGGAATTCTTTTTACTTTTTACAGCCTCCATTACTCTGTTTGTTAACCATGCAGGCTTTTTCCTATACCTGTTTGTGCCTTTCCTAACCTGCGGAATATATATTTTTTGAGCTTCTAGGATCGTAGTTTTAAATAGATCCCAAGCTTCCCCAATTGTTTTGACCCTTTCTACTTTTCCTTTCAGTTTCCTCCCCACGTGTCCCCTCATATCAGAGAAATTACCCCTTTTAAAGTTAAAAATGGTTGTGTGAGTCTTTTTGGCCAATTCTCTATTTGTACAAATGATGAACTCAACAACATTATGATCACTGTTTCCAAGCGGTGCAATCACTTTTACATCTCTCACCAGGTCTTGAGTGTTACTTAGGACCAAATCAAGGATCGCCTCTCCCCTGGTAGGTTCCGTGACCATCTGCTCCATAGCACAGTCATTTAGAGTGTCTAGAAACTCAATCTCTTTTTCCCGACTAGAACACATATTGACCCAATCAATGTGTGGGTAGTTAAAATCACCTATTATTACACAGTGTTTTTGTCTAGTTGCTATCTTTAAGGCATTCATCATTTTATAATCCTCCTCTATCTTTTGATCTGGTGGGCGATAACAAACTCCCAGTGTTAAGTTTCCTTTTGGCCCCCCTATTTCAACCCATAGAACTTCCAGAAGCGAATCCAATTCATTTAGCCTCTCAATCTTTCTAGACTTTATACCCTTTATACCTTTCAGTGAATATCAAGTGACCAAAGTCCCATCAAGATGCAAGAAAACGGCAACAGGACGAACATTCAAGGATGGTTTTCCATAACTCTTACATTCAACAAATGTTTCCGGACTGTCTTATGGTGCAATTGATGTGAAGAAGAACACTGGAAAATTGATGTTTGACAAAGACACACGTCGAAACGAGCAGTCAAAACTCGAGAAAGTTCGTCCTGTTGCTGTTTTCTTGCATCTTGATGGGACTTTGGTCACTTGATACTCACTGAAACAAATCAAGATTAAAATGTTATTGATTAGCAATTATGTGCTTTGACAAGTTTGCTATTTTTTGTTAAGTGTTTATACCAGGGGCCCCCAACGTGTGTCTCCGGGTACTGCTTTTTCTGCTGCTTTTTCTGCTGCTTTTTCTGGTGCCCACCAAGTATTTTTAGAAAGTGGAAGAGGCCAGGTGGGGTTCTTGACCAGCAAGGCTTCCAACTGGCCACTGGAGACTTTATTGGGTCTGCAGATTTTTTAAAAAAACTTTGCTTTGGCAGCAGCTGCCACCAGTGTTCCCTCTAAGCTCAGCTAGTGTGAGCTAGCTCACAGTTTTTTAGACTCACAGTTTTTTCGCCTTAGGAAGGATGGCTCCAGAGCAAAGTAATTAATGCAGTAGCCAAATTGGTCGCCCACAACTTTAATGCCGGTAGCTCACAAAGTAGAATCTTTGCTCACAAGACTCCACAGCTTAGAGGGAGCATTGGCTGCCACCACAGCCCAAGGATCTTGGCTGTGTGACTGGAAGGCAAGCCATTTTGTGGCAAGCTCCACCTCACGCGGCAGCCATTTTGTGGCTGTACCCACTACACTGCTGCGTCAGGCTTCCAAAGATGCCCACGGGCTAAAAAAGGCCGGGGAGCCCTGGTTGATACCATTCGGAGGATAAAACCCCCAATTTCTTCCAGGCCAGACTTAATTAAAAAAAAGTCTCATACATCAAAATAGGAATCAAACCTACGTGCAGGGCCATCAAGCACGAGGGCTGCAGGCAACAAATGCCCGAGAGCCATGTATGGGGAGCATATGTCATAAATAGACCTACACTAATGTTGCCTTGTGTAAAGTGCTGTTCTTGTGTACTAGTTTTTTCCTACCTACGGCTTGGGGGAGCATTTAATGATAATGCTGCGTCCTCGGTGGGCAGCAGCGGATTAAATCTTAAGACAGGCTCCTCTACCTCTTGCAAGCTCTCTCATCTCTCTCTCTCTCTAAGGATGCCTCACTAGAGGATCATAACGGGCAAGCTCTTTCGCTCTGTGGCTACTGAATGCACGTCGTTAACACAGCTTATGTCTGTCCTGCCCTTACTCTAAAGAGCTTGGGACAGTAGGTTTTTTTTGGGGGGGGGGTTGGAATTACCGCTTTAACGTCATAACAGTCCTTTGAGGCAGTTTAAATGGCAAAAGT